TTTTTTTATCACACCTCGCATAGATACTATTAATATAACAGGTGAATCGTATTTACCACTACATTATACGTTGCATTTTCTGGCATTTCTGTGATCCATTTTCTTATCTCAATATCAGTTATTGTAGAGTTCAATAATTGATTATACGGCATTAACTTAAAATTTGTAGGTATTTCAGTTCCACTGGAGTAGTATTTAAACAAAATATCGTTTGGGCTGTATGATTCGGTCATTATAATCCTAAAATTATAAGTAGAAGTGTAACAATAATTATAATCCAAAGGTAATTTTCATTGTTTTAATATTTTAATAATACAACTAACAAATCAAATCAAAATAATTTCATATCACTCATTGTAAAATATTTTAGTTATCAACCTTTTCAACGAATTAAGGGTTTAAATCGACTTATTCGGCAAAATAATAAAATTAAAATTAAAATCGTAAAATATTTAGGCATTAAGCAGGTAATAATAGTTTTCGTCATTAATAGAGCCCAGATTTATATGCATATGCATGTTTGCACTAAGTGTATGCACGTCTATGAAGGTTTAAAATGTCCACGATTCACATCACACCGAATTTAAGCACTAAATTTTATATTGCATATTTGTTCAAAAATGCATACAACATACGCATTTAATGGGTTTTTAATAAATTTAAAATTTTTGTATTTTTTTAAGTTTTCTATTCGTTTTTTGGGAGTAAGTAACTTAAAATTATCTAAAATATTTATTTTTAGTTTTTTTTTTTATTTATATCATATTCTGATAATTTAATGTGTTATATTATGTTAATTTAACGAAACAAAAGAATTCTGTTCAATAAATAAAATAAAACGTTAAAATGGTAAGTAATGTTTCATAAGGAGATAAGTATTTAACTATTTAAACTTAACTATTGGATTAAAAAAAAAAAAAAGTTATTATCGATTTATTAAAAGATGAATAAAAAAATGTTTACCTCGTAAAATTATCTTTTTGTTTATACTCATTAAGTAGTTGATGCCATTCTTTAATCAAATCGTATACTTCGTCTTGATCGACCGTATAATAGTGATAAAAATTCCAGTGTTTTACTGGTCCTGCCGGATTTATCATAGGTTCATCTTGTAATTGTTCGCTTTCGTATATATGCTTTAATGCATCTATTCGAATACCATCCATTCCTTTATCTAACCAATATCTTAAAATTTTTTTCATTTCTATGTGAACTTTTTCATTACGAAAGTTTAAATCAGGTAAGTTTCCACAAAACTGACACAAATAAAATTGTTTCCGAGTTTCGTGCCAAATCCACATCGACGTATCTATATCACTACCTGCAATTCTCGTCTGAAAAGTTTATAATATTACAATAGCTAGTTTTACCATACATAGTTGATGCGTGATATCCATAGCCGCACAAGTGGAGGCAAACGGGTTAATCTCCTTATGGCATACAAAGTATTATGTATCTAAGGGGCGTCATAAAAATTAATGATAATAAGAAAAACAATTTTTTTTATTTTAGATAAGTAAGTAATAATTTTTCTATTATACTGAAGTTTCTGACTACCTATAAAATTGTACAACATATATCATTAAATATGAAATTATGTAAATAATGTAAATAATGACTACATGCAGTGGCACCGAACACGGTATAAAGGTGTTACAGCGGTCACAACTTTTTATAGAGTGAGTCATGAAGGGTTAGATTGTACCATTCTACCGTTAGGTATCACCTATACAATACAAATATAGTAATACTTAGCTAATATTGCTAGTATATTAACATTGTATACTGTAAAATGTAGTAGCACTATTGCTAATAATGCATTAATAGTAGTATTTCCACAAATTGCTAGTATAGCATAATGAGCGTCGAACAGACATTATCTCTTCCATCTTGATAGTAGTAAGACCTTACCAGGCTGACTTACGCTACTCAATGCGGAAGAATCCACGACTAAGCTGTCGTGGTGTTGCAAGACCTAACGGGGCTCTGACATGCGCACCAAACACGGTAGTCTCACTTTCGCTGATAAAATATCGCGGGCAGTCGGGACCCTTGTCGCCGGCCGCCAGATATACGGTTTCTCTACTTCCGCCAGAGGAATACAACAGCTATCATCACCAGAGTGCCGCCTCGACGCCATCTGCAACCATCATCTTCACCTCCGTTTGAAGAACCACAGTGGGTACCACCATCACCTATATTCACGCAGCAGCCATTCAATTACGCTGTGAGACTGCAGACACCATTCGCCACTTTTACACCATTTTATCTAGTACTCAGAATTACAAAAAATAAAATTGGTTTTTTGTTATCTACAATACTTGGTTTCTTTCTCATTCTCTATTCAACAAATATAATAAGCGGAAAGCTATAAGTCTACATTAATAAACAGCTATGTAATATTTTTTATTATACATTTATATGATAAATTTCATCAAAACATTATTGTATTTTAATCCTATTACTACTAAAAAAAATTTAATAATATTTATAGCGCTTAATTTATTTGTTAAAGTTGAATTGAATCTACTATTCTAATCCTATACCAAAATATTTGTATTTCAAATTGCTGCATTTGCTTCGAAAAATAAAACTTTGTTTCTTAGAAATCATGTAATGAAGTAATTTGATTCAGTAAAGATATTCAATGTATATTTTGTAAAAATTAAATTGTATAATGTATTAGTTGTAATAAACATATAATGTATAACATATAATGTAATAAAAAACTAGTTTTCCGTAGGTACCCTAATTTGAAATTAATAAATAAATGTATTCGTAACTGTTGATTAAATAAGTAAAATATACCTGAAATTTAAATTAATTTAAATTCAATCGTTATGAGCAATTTGAGTCGAAAAGTTAGGAAATTACAATTTTTAACCAGTTAAACCTATACTGCAGCTCTGATTGACGTGCTCAGCATTTTTGGGGAGCTAGCAATTTTTTGGGTGGGAAGGGGGGTCTTTAACACTCTCCAAAATATACGCATGAAGGGGGGGGGGGGGTTATAATGAAATGTTGTCACAGCTTTATTTTAGCGATCCGGTGCCACAAACGGTATGAATATTACCGTATGATAGAATATTGTTGATCAATTTATAATTGATAAAAAATTTAAATTTTAAATATTGACACTGTAGGTAATATATGTATGATATGGTAGATATCAAGTACCATGAATTGAATTAAACGATGAATGAATTTGTACAATGAATTGACTTTATATTATGACGAATTTTATCTGTGAATCATAACTACCAGGATTCAGATAGCATATCATTGAAATGTACTGAAATACGCACTATATTATACAAAAATGAGCATTGATTAAATATAAGTTAAAGTTAAGTTTAAAAGTTAATTTTTCTAAACTTTATAATCTAACTAGTTCAATTGGCCGTTGAAATAACATAACTTATTGCGGTTGATTTAACAATGATCAATCTAGTTAATAAAAATTTGAAATTCTTCGATTATACGTAAACATTAGTATTAAAATTTTCTATTCTATCTGTATCCTACAGTAATAAGCAAATACTATAAAATCTGAACACATAATAATACTATTTATTAATGAATATTATTACAATTTTATCCAAATATGTAATAAATATGTGTGTATTATGTTATAATCAATTAATTAACAATTTTACCAATTTCTAATAATAATTCGAGTTTGAGTGAATGCAGATAATTCAGTAAACCAACCTTACTTATCACGGCAATTTAATACATACAATACCTACTCAGAAATGCAGAACGTAATTTGGTCGAAAAGCTTGCAAAAAACGTGATTTTTCTATAATTTAGCCAATATAATGAAATGTCAACTTCAAAATAACAACAAAATTAATTTAATATGATAACAATTATAATAATAATAAAAATAATAAATAAGCAGTCACCTTAAATCAGTGGTTCTCAACCTTTTTTTTCACGGCACACTGTTATACATCAAAAGTTTTCGCGGAACACTTATGCACTTGACAACAACAAAAACTTTAGCTACGCTCTAAGATATCCAGGTGGGTTAAAACCATACAGTTTACCTACACATGTATCCACTTATCTACATAATTAATTGACATTAAGAGTGCGCAATCCTTACGCTACTTATTCAGAATTAACAACTGACCTATCACATGAGAAAGAAAAACAGCTGTCAAAAATTCAGGATACTACAAACACTACGACTGAAATATAAAGAATTATCACTAATTAGATTTTGAATGTATACAGTCAGAATATCCTGTAATAACAAACAAAACAATCAACATTTTGTTACATTTTTCAACCACGAACTTATGCGAGTTAGGCTATTTAGCATTAATAAACATAAAAAACCATAAAATGGGAGAGGCTTCTTTCTATTGATTAGGAAAGGCGTGTGAGCTTGTCTTCGAATCAACCGTGAATCGAACTTTTGTTTAAGAAACGACAAGCTCAAGTTTCTCACTATGAATTTCAAAAATTTCCCTTTATGATATAATATTCCTTTGCTTAAATAATTATGTTCTCAAAATATTTTTTTTTTGTATTTATATCTTTTAAAAAAATATATAATGATATAAAATATATTGAAACATCACTAATCACAAATATCAGACATTTTTTACGGCATACCTAGTCGATCTCGCAGCACACCGTTTGAGTACCACTGCCTTAAATAATAAACATTTTTAAGGAATTAAGTAAATTGTACGCTAAAAAATATGAAGTCAATTTTACAATAGAAAAATTGGAGGATTGAAGAGGTGTCAAATTCCATTGCCCAAGAGCGTTGTAGGCAGTTAGGACAGCACTGATAGTATCAAAATGTAAATTTAATTCTATAAATATACCTACAGGTTCAGAATAATATTACATAATAGGCATTAAAAATATTTTAACTGCTACAAAATCCACTATATGTATATTAGGGTAGGTCCTTAGTATTTGACTGTATATTTTTAATCCAGTATTCTCCTGATTTGTATACGTAATTAATTTAGATCAAATGTGGAAGTTCATATTCGACCCCTTTTGATGTCGCATTAGAGATTGTATAGGGCAGAACAATCGTAGTTTTTTTTGTTTTTAATTAATTATTTATTTCAGGAAGTATTGTATTAAGTGTGAACATGCAAAGAACTAAATGGTAAATTTTTATATGTTCTATAAAAATGTATTCCACCATTTTAGAAGGTATTAATTAATTATGCTTCAAATTTGATGAAAAAATATTCATATAATATTTATTTACTTTTTTTTTTTTTTTTTTATAAGAATTACAGGAAATTCTAATAAATATTACCAAAACTTATATTAAAGTTAATCTAATGAAATTTTCACCCATAACCTTATATTTTGAAAAAATAATTTTTTATAATTTATATAGTTCTATAATGTTATGTTTTAACATATATCCAACCATATGCTGTATGTATTTAAAAAATACGAAAAATTAAATTACGATAATTATACTTATACCATATTTTATGTAGAAATGTTTTTTATAAAAAATATTAAAATCTGCCATTCATCATTATCTTATAATTTATTATAAATAATCTAAAAATTACCCAATTATTCGGTACTATAGGTTGAACCGATGAATTGTTCATTACTTCATAATGATTTTTCGCATCCTTCCATATGTAATAGTCTGTGTAATTAGTGTTATTAGCAGATTCTTGAAACCAAATGTGTTTGTTACTTGTGTGATTAGGAACGAAATCCATAATAACTTTTAAATCTAAGTATCATTTATATATATATATATATAATTTTCGATAATAATATTTTCAAATGACTTACGGTTAAATTCATTATTCGAATTATATGATTCATATCATTATCATACGTACTTTTTTTGTGTGCAGTATTTACAAGATTTTCAAAATCCTCCATTGAACCAAAAACATCTTGTACTTTTAGATAGTCACTTACGTCATAACCACCTGATTCTAATGGGGACTCTAAAAATGGTGTTAACCAAATTGCATTTACTCCTATGTCTACGAGATAATCCAATTTTTCAGTTATGCCTGCGACAAATAAGAATGGAAATACATTCATAACGATATGAACATGTGAACATTTATTTTCTCTAATATTTTAATAAAAAAATTACCATTAAAATCCCCAAATCCATCACCATTTGAATCCTTAAATGACAGCGGGAATATTTCATAAATTACAGCATTTTGCCACCAATCTAACTCTCCTTTAATTGGTGGTGCAACAATTCCACCAGAAATTAATCGCAGTATATAAGTTATGAACAAAAAGTAAAACATACACATTGTCGTATTTTCTATAGGTAAAATAATGAGAAATCAAATTTTAATATCACAGTCGTCACTGAAAACACTTAC